GAATCCTTTTCCCACCCTTATATTTCATCCTTTTCCTCCAGCGGTGTTTTTAATTCCCTCTCTGACCATATTTGTTCCTCTGCTTTCCTCCTGCCCAGCCCTGCGGCATTCACCTCTGCTTCCCTCTGTTACTTATTTGGCTTTGTTTCTCTTCCCACTCCCTGTAAGACTTGGGTCACGTTTCAGTGCCACTTGTCTTTTCTCGATTTCATCTTTCCCCTCCTCAGCCTCGGGTCTAGCTCGGCCAGGTTCGGTCGCCATCTTTACTCCCACAGCCTTGAAGCCCCTGCTCTATGGTTGCCAAAGAAACCTAAGACGGTGTTTGCTGTGCGTGAGAAAGCAGTTTGAATGTTGGCTACAGCAAGAGGGAGGCTGTAAAAATAAAGCACGTCAGGAGGAGCAAGGGAGGGAGAAGCGAGGACAGGACACGCTGTTTTGGCCCCTGGGCTAATTCTGTGTATCATTTATAAGGAACCATAGATCCTTCACTCAACGCTGCTCTTCCGAATTATGCCAACGATTAAAACAGAAATGTAGCTTTTAATGAAATTAAATCACTATTAACGAAATATGAGTGATTGTTCCAAGAGGAGGTATGGCTTGGCAGTCTTTAGGAACTTACATTTTCAACTTCTTATCCTGTGTTTCAACGGGGGATTCGTATTATTGATCCTGTTGCTCATATGTCATGCTTAGAAAACTCTGAATGGTACGTTCCACAAATGACTGCTGAGTAGGATACTACGTGATATAGGTGTGTGGTTACCTGGTAATGAACGTCCTCTCATTGATGAAGATCCAAGAAGGGTACTGGTGAGCCATCATCGTCCCCTTTCTCTCCTCTTTGAGATGGTCAGAAGGTGCCCTAAACATTAGAATAATATTAACGATTTGTTTCTGTGATGCATTCATAAATTAGTTTCTGATTTAAATTGAATATTTTGTTGTGTCTCTAGTGTATAAGAATATTTTGGAGAGTTTTTAAGTTGCATTTAAGTAGCAAAAAGGAGAAAAAATGTATTATGTAAATTTAAAAACCACAGAAACAGCGACTCAAGGCAAGGAAGGATCGGACAATTTGGTAAGTCTGTTTTTGACGTATTTCTAGTAAGAAAAATATGATTCTGTAAGTTTGTGTTATTTTGTGCAAGGAATCATATTGCTTCTGCTGCAAAAACTCAAACCAAACTGGCTGAACCCTGCCCCAGCCAGGTGAACACAACTTCAGGTTTCCAGGCAGCAAAAATCAAGCTCTGACTCGAAGCGTTGATTAAATATGACATAATATCCTCCAAATCTCCTTCAGGCTCTGGAAATTGTGGTCAGATGTGAATAATCTCTTCCTTTATAAGTTCATACAAATGGCATTAGGGTGTGACCAGAGATTTAAAGTCTAATATTTTCTGGTTGTTCCATTTTGCAGAACTTGAATAGTCAATTACCATTGCTCCAAGTCTACAGAATCTTAGGAAATACAGCCAGAATAAAAAGGTGGGTGGGGCCGGGCGCGGTGGCTCACGCCTGTAATCCTAGCACTTTGGGAGGCTGAGGTGGGCGGATTGTTTGAGCTCAGGAGTTCGAGACCAGCCTGGGCAAGAGCGAGACCCCATCTCTACTAAAAATAGAAAGAAATTAATTGGACAGCTAAAAATATATAGAAAAGATTAGCCGGGCATGGTGGCGCATGCCT